ACCTTGAAGTCTTTAAACCACGATTTGAGGACTTCAATAGCTCAGACATAGGTGAGAGGTTGATTGCAGGAGTGGGTGGGTGAGATTCGGTGGCCTGCGTTGTGCAGGAGGTTGGACTAGATGATCATAATGGTCCCTTCTGACCTTAATATCTGTGAATCTATGAAAATCTTCACATATCCTGATACAATCGCAACAGCTACGCTCCAACACCTGCTGTGATGAAGTGGAACTGTTCTTAATTATCAGGGGGTAGCTGTGTTAGTCTGTATCCACAAAAACAACAAGGAGTCCGGTGGCACCTTAAAGAAGGTGCCACCGGATTCCTTGTTGTTACTGTTCTTAATATTTCCTCTGAATACTGTAGAGGTGCCTCAGTTTCCCCTAGGCATTTCGTAAGTCTCTAGGGGGTGGGATAAGGCGGGGGTGTAATGGTTGCAGAGCAAAGGGCCAGGGTACATAAATGGCGACACTCTGTCTCCTGGCCACTGATGGCCTGGGCCCTCCCCCCTGCCAGGTGAGAGCTAAAGGGTTGGAGAACAAAGGGATCCGGTGACCTCCTGGCCCGGGAAAGGGACAAAGCCCAGAGCAGGGGGGGGCTGGAGGGAGTTTCAGTTTGGGGCTGGCTGGGACATGGAGTGAAGGGCAGACGGGGTTGTCTGGCTCATTGCCCCCCAAAATGGACCCGGCTGAGGGGTCTCGTTCTCTGTACCTACAAGCTCTGTGTTAGACCCTGTTCCTGTCGTCTAATAAACCTTCTGTTTCCCCGGCTGGCTGAGAGTCCCGTCTGGCTGCGGAGTTGGGGGGCAGGACCCTCTGGCCCCCCCAGGACCCCGCCTGGGCGGACTCGCGGTGGGAAGCGCAGGGAGGGGCGGGGGATGCTGAATGCTCCAAGGTCGGACCCAGGAAGGTGGAAGCCGGGTGAGCTATTTGCCCTGGCGACAGTCTGCTCTGCGAGAGGAGGCTCCCCCAGAGTCCTGCCTCGCTTCGTGGGGAGCAGGCCCAGAGCATCGCCCAGGGACCCCGTGGCACCTGCTCAGACACAACAGCTGCACCCCATCAGACAGACACTTGCACGCTATCACTGACCGCCAATGCAACCCTAGCACCTACACACTGACACGCCTACACCCCCTCACACACAACCCAACAGCTACAGGCCAACACGCCCTCGGACACACGGACATAACAGAGATACCCCAAAACCCGCCCACACACTCCCACATCCCCAAGACACCACAACGTACACAGCTAGCAACAGTACGTCCACACGCATGAACCGCCCAACACAACACTGAGTTCCCTCTGTCTGCCCCCAAGACCTACACCTCATAACACAACCGCACCCCAAACAGAAACCCAACCCCTGGCCTCCAGTACCTCCGCTGCTTGTGTGCCCTCGCCCCCAGACGAGTGCCCACACACCCTGCTGCACTACACACATGCCCTGCTGACGCCCCCTTCCGCCTTGCAGCGCCCCCACCCCAATCCAGCCCCAGGGTGGGACTGGCTGGCTCAGGGGGGCGGGGAATGGGGCAGGGGCCTGTTCCCTCTCGGGGGCGCCGGCTCCCACCCGGCCCCAGGGCGGGGACTGGCTGGCTCAGGGGGGCGGGGAATAGGGCAGGGGCCTGTTCCCTCTCGGGGGCGCCGGCTCCCACCCGGCCCCAGGGCGGGGACTGGCTGGCTCCGGAGGGCACGGAATGGGGCAGGGGCCTGTTCCCTCTCGGGGGCGCCGGCTCCCACCCGGCCCCAGGGCGGGGACTGGCTGGCTCCGGAGGGCACGGAATGGGGCAGGGGCCTGTTCCCTCTCGGGGGCGCCGGCTCCCACCCGGCCCCAGGGCGGGGACTGGCTGGCTCCGGAGGGCACGGAATGGGGCAGGGGCCTGTTCCCTCTCGGGGGCGCCGGCTCCCACCCAGCTCCAGGGCAGGGACTGGCTGGTTTGTGGGCAGGGAAGGGGAGCCGTCAGCCCAAGTGGCTTGGGCAGAATCCGGTTAGGGTGAGGCGCGAATTGGGTCAGCCCTGGGCCCAGCTGTTATATCACCAGGGCGGGCGCGCGGGGGCCGCTGTAGATCAGGGCTTGGCGCCAACTAGGGCACTCAGCTGGGCGGGGGGGCAGGATCGAGGCTGGCGCTGGGAGTGGGGGGCACATCCAGGGCAGGAGCAATGACCCCCATGCTGACCCCCCTCGCCCCACATCTGGGGGGGTGCCAATGGGGGGCAGCCAGTGCCCAGCTCCCACATGGCCCCCCACTCAGTTGCCCCCAGGGGTGTCAGATGTGGTGGGGCAAGGGGTGGGGGTGGGAAACCCCATTGTCCAGGGCTGGGAGAGCTACCCCCATCCCGTTCCCCTATAAATAGCCCCAATGGAGCCTTAATTGCTAATTAGGGCTAACGGAGGGATCAGGGAGGATTAAGGAGGGGCCAGTACCTCTGGGCACCCCCTCGGAGCGGGGGAGGGAGCGAGGACAGGACCCCTATATACCCCCAACGCAGGCATGGGGTGGGCATTGCTGGGCCCCTGGGAGGGCAACGCCCCCCCGGTGCCCCTCTGGCCCCACCTCTTTCTCCTCTGCCCCGTCCTCTGCCTTCCAGTGCCCCCTACCACCTCCCCATGGGGCACACTGAGAACTGGGGTCCCCAATGGCCCTTCAGCTGGGGGCTCTGGGTTCTGCCCCTTCCCCGCTGCCCCTCCTCTCCCCCCCCATGGCCCCTCACTGGCCCCCCTGCTCTTGCCCCTCCCTCCTGCACTAATCCCCCCAGGTGCTCTGTGCTCTGAGCTGATGGGAGGTGACACCACCCCCCGCCCCCCTAATCCCCGGATTTTCGGGTCGCTCCAGGGGAGTCTGATTAAAGGAAACTGGAAAGTTTAATCTCCCAGGTGCGGAAAAGGGGCCGTGCTGGGCAGGGAGCAGAGCTGGGGCACTGAGCAGACCTGGGGCCGGCACCTCAAAGCCCCCCGGGCACCCCCCAGGGCTGGAGCTGCAGGACCCAAGTGCACATGCGTGAGTCCTCGGGCACGGGGAAGCCAGGGGCCTTGGGCGGGGGGCTGGGATACTCGTGCCATGCACTGGAGGTGAGTGTCTGGGATACTCGTGCCACACACCGGGGGGGCGCCTCTGGGATACTCATGCCACGCACCAGGGTTGGGTGTCTGGGATACTCGTGCCACACACCGGGGTGTGTGTGTCTGGGATACTTGTGCCACGCACCGGGGGGCGGGTGTTGGGATACTCATGCCACGCACTGGGCGGGGGATCTGGGATACTCGTGCCACGCACCGGGGGGGATCTGGGATACTCGTGCCACGCACCGGGTGGGGGATCTGGGATACTCGTGCCACGCACCGGGGGGGTGTTGGGATACTCGTGCCACGCACCGGGGTGTGTGTGTCTGGGATACTCGTGCCACACACCGGGGGGGTGTGTCTGGGATACTCGTGCCACGCACCGGGGGGCGGGTGTTGGGATACTCGTGCCACGCACCTGGTGGGGGATCTGGGATACTCGTGCCACGCACCGGGGGGGTGTTGGGATACTCGTGCCACGCACCGGGCGGGGGATCTGGGATACTCGTGCCACGCACCGGGCGGGGGATCTGGGATACTCGTGCCACGCACCGGGCGGGGGATCTGGGATACTCGTGCCACGCACTGGGGGGGCGGCGGCTCTGGGGTGGTCATGCGCAATGTCTGTAGGTCGGGGGTCCTCGGCTGTGTGTTGCATGGGCAGCGTCTGGGTGGCTCCTCGGGTCCCAGACACGCATGTGATCTGCCAGGGAAGAGGGCGGGGTTGGGGGTGCTCTGGAGGGATGAGGGGTCAGGGCACTGGTGGATGGCAGTGTTATGGGGGCAGGGTTGCTGGATGGGGTGCTATCGGGTGGGGGATAGGGGTGGCTCTGTCCCCCCTTGCCATGCCAAGGGGCCATGGGGATGACTGAATGGGGTCTCCCCCTCTTCTCTCTCCCCTTTCCCATGAAGGAGTCAGGGGGCAGGCCAGGAGTCCCCCCCCCCCAGGGCCGGGGGGCTGGAGCCGTGTCCAGCGCAGACAGATCACGAGGCAGATAAGTACCTGCGGAAGGGGGGCTGGGAGAGCTGGTGGAGTTGCCCAGGAAGGGGGCTCCAGGGGACTGGGTCAGGCATTGGGGGTCTCAGGTGCGTGGCTGTGGCCGGGTGGGGTGAATTGAGGTGGTGAGGTGTTGGGAACTGTGTGAGAGGTGCAGGGCACCAGGGCAGGTGCAGGGGGGTGGGGGGGGCTGCGTGAGGGATGCAGGGCGCCGGGGGGGGGAGAATGCAGGGGGAGGGGCTGGGTGAGGAATGCAGAGAGCTGGGGTGGGATGCATGACTTTGGGAGGGGGGCTGGGTGAGGGGTGCAAGGGGTGGGATTTTGGGGGCTTGGGGGCTGGTGCCTTGCCCCCTATCTCTGGGGCGTTCGCCAGGAATTCCGCTAGTTCTGAACTATTTACACTTGAAAAAAGTTCACTACTAGCAGAACTCGGGTGCGCGCCCCCCAACGTCGCAGGGGGGCAGGGCACTGGGCGGGGTCAGAGGACAATGGGGGGCAGGGCACTGAGGAGACCTCAGGGGGTGGCTGGGCACTGCGGGGGATGGGGGACCATTACGGTGGGAGATGGGAGACAGCAGGGGGCCAGGACACCAGGGAGGAAATGGGGGACAGTGGGGGGGGCAGGGCACTGGGGAGAATGGGGGACTGCGGGAGGGGCAGGACACCAGGGGTCCATGGGGGGCAGGGCATTGGGGAGGATGGGGGACCATGGGGAGGCAGGACACAAGGGGTCTGTGGAGAGCAGGGCACTGGGGAGAACAGGAGACCGTGGGGGGCAGGGACTCAGGGGCGCCAGGGGGACTGTGGGGGGGGGCAGGGTACCAGGGGGCCGGGGGGACCGTGGAGCCAGGGGAGGGGCACTACAGCAGAGCACTGGGCAAGGTGGGGGGGTTTCAGGGGGCCAGGGGCCCCCCTTGTCGCCAGTGCCTCCCCCTGTCCTTGTGGCTCACAGCAAGGCCCTGTGTGGCGGGGTCCCCCCCGGGCAGGGCTCCCCACCACGGCTCCTGTGCTGCCCCCCAAGTGACCTCCCCACACGGCCCCCCCGGCTAATAAAAACCCTGGACACTGGGAACTGAAGCTGCATTTTATTTACCCAAGTGACGTGGGGGGTTGTAATTACAGCCCTGGGGGCTGTAATTAGAGCAGGGGGTAATTAATTACAGCCATGGGGGGTAATTAGAGCAGGGGGTGGGGTAATAACCAGGCTCATATTTACAATATACAAGTTGCGGGTGGGCCCCCTGCCAGGTCCGTCGCTGGGGGGCCAGGAGGGACCGTGGGGGGGCTCTGTCTCCTGTCACTCACCCCTCGCTGCTCTGCCTGTTGGGGGCTGGGGGGAAGGGACCTGGGTTCGACCCGGTTGGGGGCGCTGGGGGGGGCTGCAAGGCGCTCAGACCCCCCCCATCTCCCCTGACTTATAGCTCCCACACCGGCCGAGCCCAGCAAGGGGAGCAGCCCCCAGCACGCCTGGGTCCCCCAGAGCATGCTGGGATACTGAGCTGGACTGTCTCTGTGGCGGAGCAGGGTATGCTGGAGTGTCCTGGGGCCCCCCCCGGAGCAGGGCATGCTGGGATAGCTCGGGGGGGACCCCGAGCAGGGCACCCTGGGATAGCTTGGGGCCCCCCCACAGCAGGGCATGCTGGGTTATCTTGGGGGGGGACCCTGAGCAGGGCATGCTGGGATAGCTCGGGGGGGTCCCCCCACAGCAGGGCACGCTGGGATATCTCGGGGTCCCCCCACAGCAGGGCACGCTGGGATATCTCGCCCCCCCACAGCAGGGCATGCTGGGGTGTCCTGGGCCCCCCCCGGAGCAGGGCATGCTGGGATAGCTCGGGGGGGGGACCGCGAGCAGGGCACGCTGGGATATCTCGGGGCCCCCCCACAGCAGGGCATGCTGGGTTATCTTGGGGGGGGACCCTGAGCAGGGCATGCTGGGATAGCTCGGGGGGGGCCCCCACAACAGGGCACCCTGGGATATCTCGCCCCCCCACAGCAGGGCATGCTGGGATATCTCGGGCCCCACCGAGCAGGGCCTGCTGGGCTACGCTGGGGACACCTGGCTGGAGGAGACGGAGGAGACCTGGGTGGCCTGCGAGGACCCCGAGACGTCGTCGTCCTCCCCAAAGGGGCTGCGGCCACAGAACACCAGCTTCAGCATGCAGGAGCGGAACTGCAAGAGGGGGGAGTCAGCGGGGGGCTGAGCATGGGGGGCACCCCACAGCCCCACTAACTGCACCCCTCTCTTTTCTGCCAGCTCACTTCCCGGTGCGTCCCTGATCCCAGCCCCCTCTGCCCCCCATTCCCTTCAGCCTGCTCCCCCCAGCCCAGCCCAGCCTCCCCCAGCCCCCCATTCCCTTCAGCCAGCTCCCCCACCCCAGCCTAGCTCTCCATTCCCTTCAGCCTGCTCCCCCCAGCCCAGCCCAGCCTCATGCCAGCCCCCTGCCAGCCCCGCCTGGCGTGGCACCGACCTGCTTGTTCATGAAGACGTAGATGATGGGGTTGTAGACGGTGGAGGACTTGGAGAAGACGGCGGGGATGGAGGCCAGGTGCACGTCGAAGGGCTCCCCACGGTGCGTCACGACCCACAGCGCGAAGGAGGCGTAGGGCAGCCAGCACACCAGGAACCCGGCCACCATCACCACCACCATCTTGGTCACCTCCCGCTCGGCCTTCTGGGTCGTGGCTGACTGCTCCTGCTGCTTGGCCACCTGTGGGGGCAGAGAGGATTGGGTGGGGCACGCTCTCATGCAAGGGTACAGCAGCCATTGCCTGGGGCCCACCCTCATCTGTGGGGCGCAGCAGCCATTGCCTGGGGCCTACGTTTATCCATGGGGGGCAGGGACGGCCATTGTGTGGGGCTCACCCTCATCCATGGGGCACAGCGAACGTTGCCTGGGGCCTGCGCTCATCCGTGGGGGGCAGGGACGGTCATTGTGTGGGGCCCACCCTCATCCATGGGACACGGCGGCCATTGCCTGGGGCCTGCGCTCATCCATGGGACACAGCGGCCATTGCCTGGGGCCTGCGCTCATCCGTGGGGGGCAGGGACGGTCACTGTGTGGGGCCCACCCTCATCCATGGGACACGGCGGCCATTGCCTGGGGCCTGCGCTCATCCATGGGACACAGCGGCCATTGCCTGGGGCCTGCGCTCATCCGTGGGGGGCAGGGACGGTCATTGCGTGGGGCCCATCCTCATCTGTGGGGCACAGCGGCCATTGCTTGGGGCCTGCGCTCATCCGTGGGGGGCAGGGATGGTCATTGTGTGGGGCCCACCCTCATCCATGGGACACGGTAACGATTCAGTGGGGCGTGCCCTCATCTGTGGGGCCGCTGCGGCCATATTGCTGGGACCCATCCGAATCGGCACGGGAGATGGACGGCCACGGCAGTGGGACCCACTCTAACCACATGGGGCCACAGCACAGGGACCCACCCTCATTCGCTGCAGTCAGCCATCTTGGTGGGACCCACCCTCATTCATGTTGGGCGGCCATATCGGTGGGACCCACCCTCATTCGTGTTGGGCGGCCATATCAGTGGGACCTACCCTAATCCGCATGGGGCAGCCATAACCTGCACGTGGACACGGACGGTGCAGGGCAGCCATGTCTGTGGCACCCACCTTTTAATCCATGTGGTGGCATGGAGCTCACAGGGTGTCCATGTTGGTAGGACCCGCCCTAATCCCTGTGGGAACATAGGCACCCACCCTAATCCACATGGGGATGCGGATGGCGCAAGGTGGCCATATTGGTGGGTCTCACACAAACCCACAAGGTTGGGGGGTGGCCAGGGAGGCTGTTGTGGGGGGAGGGACATGCCTGTGGGGGTGAGAAGCAAATGCACTCTGTGCCACGGGGGAGGCACCATATTGGTGGGACCCCCCCCCATATCTTTTGACGGCTTGGGGACAGCTGGGGGGGGGCAGAAGTCCACAGTACTGGTGGGATCCACCCAAGCCCATTGGAAGGGAGGCCTGGGGGGTGAAGCTGGGGGGGGGAAGGGGCATGTCCCAGTGCTGTCTGCCCCCCCCCCCCGCACTGTATAAAGCTCCAATAAAGCCGGCTCCACCCAAACTCGCCCTGTCCCTGTCCATGTCACACCAGCTTGGTCCCCACCCCCACCACACGGCTGCCCCACCCCCACAGCCCCCAGCACGGGTGCCACAGCCCTGGGATGGGGGCCAAGCCCCGCATGCTGCCTTCCCAGCGCTGTGACCCCATGGAGTTCTCCGTGGCTGCAGGGCAATGTGGGGGGTCCCAGTGGAAGGGAAGGGCCCAGGGCAGTCCCCATGGTGGGAAGGTTGGGGGGTCCCTGTACTGATGGGAGGAAGGGGGTGAGGGTGTCCCTGTGCCAGTGGGGAGGAGGGTGGTGGGTGGGCAGGAATGGAGGGGGGACCCTATGCCCGTCAGGTGCAGAAAGGGTCTCTGGGCTGGCAGGAGTCAGGGGTCCCCTTGGTGGCAGGAAGGGGTTGGGGGGGGCCCAGTGGCAGTGGGGGCAGTTGGGGTGCTCGTGACAGCAGGATGCAAACCAGGGGAGGCTGCGGTGGCGGGGGCAGTCCAGGGGTATCTGTGCTGGCAGGAGTTGGGCGGCCCTGTGGCAGGGAGGCAGTCGGGCGAGCCCTTGGCAGCAGGAGGGACTTGGGGGGCCCTGTGCATGCAGGAGAAGAGTTGGGGGGTCCCAGGGCAGCGGGAGGGGAGTTGGGGGACCCCAGGGCGGCGGGAGGGGACTCAGGAGGCCCGGGGCGGCAGGAGAGGAGTCAGGGGGGCCCGGGGCGGCAGGAGGAGAGTTGGGTGGCCTTGGGACAGCGGGAGGAGACTCGGGGGGGCCTGGGTGGGAGCGGAGTCAGGGGGACTGGGGTGGGAGGGAAGTCAGGGGGCCCCAGGGTGGCAAGAGGGGATTCATGGGGGCCCTGGGCAGGAGGGTAGACGGGGTGGACGGGAATGGATTCAGGGGGCTGGAGCGGCGGAAGGGGAGTTGGGGGGCCCCAGAGCGGCGGGACGGGAATCCGGGGGGCCAGGGCGGCGGGACGGGACTCGGGGGACACCGGGGCAGCGAGAGGGGACTCGGTGGGCCCGTCAGGGGCACTCACAGCGCGCAGCGTCAGAAGCAGGCGGCCATAGGAGAAGACAATGATGCTGAGGGGGACCCCGAAGCAGAAGCAGAAGAGGAAGATCACGTAGGTCTCGTTGTTCCACTTGTTGTTGGTCGTGTACCAGTCGGGGCCACATGAGCACTGGAGCCCCTCGGGGATGTACCTGGGGGGGACACAGACAGCTGCCAGCCCAGCCCTGCCGGTGTCCCACACTTCCGACCTGCAGCCCCTGCTAGCCCAGCCCTGGGCCCCCCAGCCCTGCCGGTGTCCCACACTTCCGACCTGCAGCCCCTGCTAGCCCAGCCCTGGGCCCCCCAGCCCTGCCGGTGTCCCACACTTCCGACCTGCAGCCCCTGCTAGCCCAGCCCTGGGCCCCCCAGCCCTGCCGGTGTCCCACACTTCCGACCTGCAGCCCCTGCTAGCCCAGCCCTGGGCCTTCCCAGCCCTGCCGGTGCCCCTCACTCCCAACCCGGAGCCCCTGCTAGCCCAGCCCTGGGCCCCCCAGCCCTGCCGGTGCCCCTCACTCCCAACCCGGAGCCCCTGCTAGCCCAGCCCTGGGCCCCCCAGCCCTGCCGGTGCCCCTCACTCCCAACCCGGAGCCCCTGCTAACCCAGCCCTGGGCCCCCCCTCAGCTCTGTCGGTGCCCCTCACTCCCAACCCGCAGCCCCTGCTACCCCAGCCCTGGGCCTTCCCAGCCCTGCCGGTGCCCCTCACTCCCAACCCGCAGCCCCTGCTAGCCCAGCCCTGGGCCCCCCAGCCCTGCCGGTGCCCCTCACTCCCGACCCGCAGCCCCTGCTAGCCCAGCTTGGGCTCCCCCAGCTGACACCTACCGGCTCCATCCGAAAAGGGGGGGTGCAGAAGCCACAAGGCCGAAGATCCAGGTGAGGAGGCAGCCGATGATGGCGTGGGTGCCGCGGAACGTGAAGTTCCCCAGGGGTTTGCAGATCACCAGGAATCGCTCGAAGGCCACGACGGCCAGAGACCAGAGACTCACCATGCCTGAGGTGGAGCGGCTGAGAGCAACGGGGCAGCAGGGATCCCATCCCCCGACCGCCTGCCTTCGACCCCAGCCCCCTGCTAACCACCCTGGGCTCCCCAGCCCTGCCGGTGCCCCTCACTCCCGACCTGCAGCCCCTGCTAGCCCGGCCCTGGGCCCCCCAGCCCTGCCGGTGCCCCTTGCTCCCGACCCACAGCCCCTGCTAGCCCAGACCTGGGCCCCCCCCAGCCCTGCCGGTGCCCCTCACTCCCAACCCGCAGTCCCTGCCAGCCCGGTCCTGCCCCCCACCCCAGCCCTGCCGGTGCCCCTCACTCCCGACCTACAGCCCCACTCACCCCCCAGCGTGGCAGCAAACCCCTCAATCTTGCAGGCCGTGGGGCCCAGGGCGAAGTACATCTGGGAGAAGCTATAGAAGGCCGTGGTGGTGCCCACGGAGATCACCAGCAGGTTGGCCATGGCCAGGTTGACCAGGATGTAGTTGAGGTGGGAGCGCAGCTTCTTGTACTTGGCCGTGCAGAAGATGGTGAGGACGTTGATGGGCATGCCCAGCGTGATGAGCAGGAACATGAAGGCCGACATGCCCATGAAGATGACTGGGCTGCCCAGGTGTGTCTGCGGCACCAGAAACGGGCTCAGCGCCGTCAGATTCTTCGTGTCCAGAGGCACCGGGATGAAAAAGTCCTCCGGGAGGTCGTCCCGCAAGTCGCGGGTCTTGTGCATGGCTGGCAGGAAGGAGCGGCCGAGGCGGGCAGGGAGCCGTGTGGGGAGGCGTGTTTGTGGGGATGGATGCAGGGGTAGTGGGTGGATGGAGAGGCTACAGGATGGATGGAGGGTGTGTATGGAAGGAGAGACAGTGGATGGGGATGGATAGATAGATAGATGGGGTGTGGGGGGATGGATAGATAGAGAGGGGTGTGGGGCTAGATAGACAGATAGGTAGAGGGGATGGATAGAGAGACAGAGAAGGTGTGGGGGGATAGGTAGATAGATAGATAGATAGATAGATAGAGGGGGTGTATGGGGATAGATAGATAGATGGGGTGTATGGGGATAGATAGATAGATAGATAGATAGATAGATAGATAGATGGGGTGTATGGGGATAGATAGATAGATAGATAGATAGATAGATAGATAGATAGATAGATAGATAGATAGATGGGGTCTCGGGATGGATGGATGGACAGACACACAACCAGCCAGCAGCCGGGGCACCGGCAGGAAGGAGGGAACGCAGCGGCTGCAGACAGAGAGGTAGCGTCCCTGTGCCGCGCACAGCCCAGCCCTGTGTCACCGTGGCACCAGTGGGCCCCAGGGCGCTCAGACGGGCGGGGGGGCCATGGCGGGCGGCAACGAGTGGTGGAGGGGCCAAGAGAGGGGTCTTTTATACCCTAGGGAGCCGGGGGGTGCCCTGGGCCGTGTGGGGAGGGGCAGCAGGATCTGTCTTTGCCCTAGTTAACACTGGCTCCTTCCTTAATCGCCCCTAAAACTGGAAAGCTCAGCTGAGCCGGGCTTATCCCCCGGCAGCGCTGTGCCCAGCACAGCCCAAGGGCTGCAAAGATGGGCTTAGCCACGGAGTCAAGCAGCTTTGCCAAAGACTAATCACGCCCGAGCCCCGATTAAGCCCTGGCTTTGTGGGGGGAGATATGGGGGGTGACTCAGAGACCCACCAGGGCCGAACTCCTACTAATAGGGCCCTGGAGGAGAAAGGGTAAATGGGAGACCCTCCAGGACCCCCCAAATCCTGGGACAGACCCTCCAAACCTCCACTCCCCAGCTCTGCCGGTGTCCCTCTCCCAACCCACAGCCCCTGCTAGCCCAGCCCTGCCCCCCCAAGCTCTGCCGGTGCCCCTCACTCCCGATCCGCAGCCCCTGCCAGCCCAACAAAGCCAGGGCAGACCTCCTCCAACTGCGCCCGTGCTGGAGCCTCTGGGGGAGCGAACAGAACAGAACCGTTATCCTGGGACCCACACGGCTCCCCCGCAGGCTCCTGGCTGTCAGAGGTCTGGGGTCACCCCAGGCAGGGGGCTGTGTGCCTGGCCATCATGGCTAGCGGCCAGCGCTGGACCTGTCCCCCGTTCCTCGCTGCCCCGCCTGCACAATGTCCTGTGGCAGGGGGTTCCACAGGCTGACCATGCTCTGGGTGGGCAAGTGTTTCCTCCTGTTCATGTCCTCGGGCGAAGCCTGGTTCGCACAGCGCGGGGCAGGGGCACTGACCACGGTCCATAACCTGCCAGCCTGCCCGGGGCTGGGAACTGCTGGGCCCATCCCCAGGGGTCTCCTGCAATGTGCCTGAGCCCAATGTGCTAAGCAGTCGGCCCCGCTCTGCGATGGGCCCTGCCCCACAATCTGCCCCACATTCCCACATGCCCGTCCTGCCCCACGATCCACCCCGCCCTATAATCTGCCCGCACTGCCACCTGGCCGCCCTGCCCCACCACCCGCTCCGCATTGCCACCTGCCCACCCTGCCCCACAATCCGCCCTGCCCTGCGATGGGCCCTGCCCCACCACCCACTGCGTGTTGCCACCTGCCTGTCCTGCCCCACGATCCACCCCACCCTACAATCCGCCCGCATTGCCACCTGCCCACCCTGCCCCACAATCCACCCCGCCCTGTAATCTGCCCGCATTGCCACCTGCCCACCCTGCCCCACGATCCACCCCGCCCTGTAATCTGCCCGCATTGCCACCTGCCCACCCTGCCCCACAATCCGCCCCACCCTACAATCCGCCCGCATTGCCACCTGCCCGCCCTGCCCCATGATCCGCCCTGCCCTGCCACCTGCCCACCCTGCCCCACAATCCGCCCTGCCCTGCGATGGGCCCTGCCCCACCACCTGCTCCGCATTGCCACCTGCCTGCCCTGCCCCACGATCCACCCCACCCTACAATCCGCCCGCATTGCCACCTGCCCGCCCTGCCCCATGATCCGCCCTGCCCTGCCACCTGCCCACCCTGCCCCACAATCCGCCCTGCCCTGCGATGGGCCCTGCCCCACCACCTGCTCCGCATTGCCACCTGCCTGCCCTGCCCCACGATCCACCCCACCCTACAATCCGCCCGCATTGCCACCTGCCCGCCCTGCCCCATGATCCGCCCTGCCCCGCAATCCGCCCAGCCCCACCACCCACTGCGTGTTGCCACCTGCCTGTCCTGCCCCATGATCCGCCCAGCCCCACCACCCGCTCCGCATTGCCACCTGCCCGCCCTGCCCCGCGATGGGCCCTGCCCCACCACCCACTGCGTGTTGCCACCTGCCTGTCCTGCCCCACGATCCATCCTGCCCCACGATCCACCTGCATTGCCACCTGTGACAAAGTGGGGGGTTTTCTTGTTTTTTCCTTGTTTTCCAGGGGTTTGCATGCAGAGGGGGTGGGACTCAGTTTCCCTGCGTATTACTGGTTTAACAAGGGGATGGGAGAGGGAGTTTGTTGTTACAGAGGACCAGTGAGGGAACTTGAGACCCTGGAGAATGGAGACCCCAGCGACTGGTGACTGGGGATCCAGCTGCCGGGTCTGGTCAGTGGGAGGACAATGGGCTGCAGAGAGAGGACCCAGTGTTCTGACCAGGCAGTTCCAGCCAGAGGGGCCAGAGGACAGAGGAGAGGAGAGGGGGCCCAGGCAACCTGTTTACCAGGCGACAATGGACAGAGGGGGGGCTTGGGGCCGGTGAGATCGGATGCCCAGCTGGGAAGCAGGGGGGCTCTGGGCTGGAGAGAGGGAGCAGGCAGAGCCCAGCTGGATGCAGGGGAGACTGGGATGTGTTGGGCTGAGGCGGGCCAGGCCTGAGGCCCAGAGAGTTTCCTATGCTGGGTTCAGACGCTCAATAAACCCTGCTGCTTTATGCCGGCTGAGTGTCACTCCAGTCTAGAGAACAGGGGGGCATTATTCTCTCTGGACGTTGTCACGAAGTGTGGGGGAGTCCGGGCCCTGCACCCCTCTTCCTGGGATTCACTGAGACTCTCCGCCAGCCAGTAAAACGGAAGGTTTATTGGACAATAGCAACACAGTCTAAAACAGAGCTTATGGGTACCACCAGGACCCCTCAGTCAAGTCCTTCTGGGGGGCAGGGAGCTAAGACCCCAGCCTTGGGGTTCCCTGCATTTGACCACCCAGCCCAAAACTGAAACTCTCTCCAGCCCCTCCTCCTCTGGGCTTTGTCCCTTTCCTGGGCCAGGAGGGCACCGGATTCCTTTGTTCTCAAACCCTTTAGCTCTCACCTCGCAGGGGGGAAGGGCCCAGGCCATCAGTGGCCAGGAAATGGGGTGTCGGCCATTCTCTGTGTCCAGACCCCTGCACACACCTGCCCTCTAGGGCTCTGCAATGACCATACACCCCTATCCCGCCCCCTAGATACTTAAGAACTGCCTAGGGTAAACTGAGGCACCCCCACACTATTCAGAGGAAACACTAAGAACAGTCCCACTTCCTCACAGGCGTGGAGGCCCCAGGGGTCCAGAGCAAGTGGACTCCCTGAGGGGGCCCACGGCAGAGACAGATGTGCTAAGGCTCAGAGAGTGCGGCTCCAGGAGGTGGAGGGGCTGGACCCCTGAGAGAGAGTGGACCCCCGAGAAGGGCTGTCTCACTGAAGGGGGTTCCCCCCACGGACCACACGGGGCCAAGAGTGGGCACGATCTGTGAGTCTGACAGTGACACCACCTGCCTGCCCTGCCTCGCATTGCGACCTGCCTGCCCCGTCCCACTATCTGCCCATATTGCCACTTGCCTCACAATCTGCCCCGGCCTGCCCCACACCCCGCCCTGCCACCTGCCCCATGATCTGTCCCACCCCACGATCCACCCCGCCTCACCATCCACCCTCATTGCCATCTCCCCCGCCACGGGACCTGCCCCGCCCCGCGATCCATCCTGCCTCGCCACCTGCCCCATGATCTGCTCTGCCCTGCCATTGGCCCCACCCCACAATTGCCCCACCCCGCGATCGGCCCCACCTCACCATCCAACCTGTGATTGGTGTGCCACCAAGCCCATGCTCCCCTCACAAGTTTTCTGCTGTCCTGGGCTCTGCACAGCTGGCAACATGCCACTAGATGGCACCATGACACCATGAATCCCAGTGCCACAGGGATAGGGGGCAGGATTGGGACTACATCTCCCAGGAGCCTTTGCAGGGGGGTAATTTGGAGCTGGAATCAGCATTTACTCCACTTCCACGTCTGCCAAGGTGCACAGGCCCTGCCGCTCCATAGGGGAGCCATGGGCCAAATCCCATTGGAGCTGGGGGGTGGGGGATCACCTTGAGGAGCCAGGATTAGGGCTAAATCGGGAGCTTGTGCTGACAGGGATTAGCGGGAGTGCGTGGGGCATAGACTGGGCTGAGCTTCCTGCCACAAACCCCAGCCTACCCAAAGCTGGGGAAGGCCAGTGCTAGGCTAGCAGGGGCTGCGGGTCGGGAGTGAGGGACACCGGCAGAGCTCGGGGGTGCAGGTCTGGGCTAGCAGGGGCTGCGGGTCGGGAGTGAGGGACACCGGCAGAGCTGGGGGGCGCAGGTCTGGGCTAGCAGGGGCTGCGGGTCGGGAGTGAGGGACACCGGCAGAGCTGGGGGGCGCAGGTCTGGGCTAGCAGGGGCTGCGGGTCTGGAGTGAGGGACACCGGCAGAGCTGGGGGGGCGGGCAGAGCCGGGCTAGCAGAGGCTGCAGGTCGGGAGTGAGGGACACCGGCAGAGCTGGGGGGGCGGGCAGAGCCGGGCTAGCAGAGGCTGCAGGTCGGGAGTGAGGGGCACCAGCAGAGCTGGGCAGGGGCAGGGCTGGGCTAGCAGGGAGCTGTAGGTCGGGGAGTTGGGACTGAGTCTATTTGGGGTCACCACCCTTCCATCCCCGCTGCACCATCCCCCATGGCACTGTGACCCCCTATTCCACATTCCCAGGCTCTGGATGGAGGGTTAGGATGCCACTATTAGCAGCTTTTGTCAGCCCTGGACCGGGGAGAGGAGGGGCTGGGCAGGGATCCAGCGAAATCAGGGCAGGATGCGTCCCCCACAGAAACTGAGGGGGGGTGTAAATCCAGGCAGCCCCGCCTTACGGACCCCTGGTCCAATCCTGGAGCCGGCTGCCCCAGCCAGGCCCTGACACCCAGGACCCCGGGTGGGGAGATGTGAGAGAGGGAGGGTTATAATCCCTGTCCCCCCACCCCCCCGCGGGAACAGAGAGCACAGGCAGAAATTAAAGTCAGGGGGGATTAGCTCGCAGCAGCTGTTGTAAGGCCAATTAAAGCTCAGCTCATCTCACCAAGCGCTTCCTGGGGGAGGGGGGGAGTGGGCAGCCCCCCCACCACACCCCTCACCCACCTGGGACAGGGGCAGGGGCTGGCTGGCTCAGGGGGACAGGGAATGGGAGACAGGGCCTTTCCCCTCTCGGGGGTGTGGGGCTAAAGGCCATCTGGGGCAGCTGCTTTGTCTGAGGACGCGGATGGCCGCCTCTGCTCTGACCCACCAGCCCCCATTCACCTCCTGGAGCCAGGGACAGAACCCAGGAATCCTGGCTCCCGGTCCCCACCCCTTTGCCCCAGAGGCACAAGCCTTAGCCAAGCATGGCCCATATACTAGTTTAGGGCCCAGGTTCCGATCGGGACTGGAGAGCCCTCTGCTGTTGGGCTTGGGTTATTACCGACCAGGCCAGGCACCTCCAGAAGGTTGGCGTCTCTGAGCTAGACAAGATGGCGTGTTGAGGCGTCTGTACAGGTGTCAGCGTCCCCGATAATCTGATCAGCGGGTGCCACAGACCGGGGGCCGGGTTTCCCGCGCGCTGGCGGGATGGCCTCAGCCACAG